TGCAAATAAACATCACGGCTCTATTCCAGTGCTATTTATATCTATTTCAGTTTAATGACCCCAAACATTGTATGAAGAGTTTCTCTAATGTGCTACCAARACTGTTTATAGGAGACAACTGTCTCAAGAATGTGCTAGTGTGAAGACTCCCACGGCAGCACCCGTGCAGGAATTGCAGATCTSCTTGGGCAATCTCCTCCTGTCTGATGAAGTTTCATCAGGGAAGAAGAAGTGATGGTCTGGGGTTTAAGTTACCACACAGAGTGGCAATGCAGGGGATGGATTGAAACCAGCRTGCATCAGCAATCAATTAAAAATGGCCAGCACACCAGAAGAGTGGACAGATGTGCTCTTGTGCCTGTAGCTGGGGAAATTTGGGATCTTACAGCTCCCATCTGGTTCTGCCGTGTCTTGGCTGGTGGTTTCTGCCCCATGGGGAAAGGCTGCGAGGCTGAGCTGCCTGGTGCTCATCCTGTCCCCCTTGGGTGCTCCTGCCTGTCCCAGGACACAGAGCAATGGGTGACCCCACAATCCCTGAGAGCCAACTCCCAATTCATCTCTTTCATGGCAGAACACAGGGAACAGGGTTTGGGTCAGTGCTGTGACATACAGGCAGGATAYAATTTGGGGGTTTGCACAGGGCAAGAGCAGTGGTGCTGCTCCTGTGTTCCTAAAAATGCCAGAGCAGGAATCTCTCCCTCCTCGCAAGGCTTGGCCTGGCCAGCAAGGGTGGGATCAGTGCCCCCTGACACYGGTGATGTTCCTGCCCACCTCAGTGCAAAATCACCCTGAAGAACAAAAAACAGCCTCTTAACAGTAAGTAATTTCTGTCTCCTTCCATATTGCTTTAAATTTACAGAGCCCCAGTCAGGGCTGAGTGTTCTGTATGCTATTAATTAGCTGATCACATGCCAATGCTAATTTTTTTCAAATGGGTTCACTATTTATAAACGTTCACCAGTTTGTGCCGACACATGAGAGGAGGGAAGGACATATTTACCCCATTCACTTTTTGCAGATGCTTTGCAGCTCTCCATTGGAGGAATTGACCTCTCTCATTTACCAAAGATGCAACTTTAGTTCCTAAAGCTGATAATTATTAATATAAAATGGGATGCTTGATGACTTCCTAAATAACAAATAGCACACATCTTTCTTCTATATTTCACAGAGCAAGCCAGCTAAYTTTAGTACTGCTAGTAGATGAATTGAATGTTTTTCTTTGGTCCAACCTCAGCCCTAAAAAAACATTTGTAACCTCACATAGCTGGGCACAATACAAGTCACCCTGGCTAAGAGACCTTTGCTCASGGAAAATCAGCATTTGATGTTCAAAAGAGGAGTGGAACCAGCATGTTAAAGCATCCACTCACTGTCCAAACAGTGCCTATTGTTCCAGTGATTGCCAGCAATATCCTGTTTGTCGCTGGGACAGCACTTTGGGGAGCCTGCCCTAGAAACAGCCATTTGCCTTGTGGCCAGACACTTCCAGTGTGGGACTTGGAAATTCTCCAGAGCATGGAAAYCTGGGGCTCTGGCCTCCAGCAAAACCTCTTCAAAATGCCTTGAGAAACAACCAGACTCATAAACTTCCATGCATCCAATGAAAGAAACGTTTTCTTATCCAAGTAACTAATTTGCCCCCCACCTCATCCATCTGGCATTGCTCTGTTCCTGCTCTACACCCATCACACCCCAACCCTGGCAGCAGGCCCTGAAGAAACTCAAGTTTTGTGGACTGTGGGTGAAATCTGTGGCAGAATATTACTGGTGTGGAGCTAACAACTGGTTTGGACTTTGGTACAGCRCAGCTGCACACGTGGTGAGCCACCAGCAGCTTTTCGTGCCAGGCACCGCCACGTCTGAGTTGTAAATGCTGTGTGAATTGTCTACAGGAATATTTGCTCTTTCCCTGGGTGATATTCARCTACTGCCTTCGATTTTCTTAGAGGCAGGCTGGGCCTAAGTTTTTTAAAGTGGTTTCAAGCTTTTTTGTGTGGAAGGCACTGAATAAGCCCCGTGCAGATCTAACGCCGCTGGAGTTCTGCTCTTTGCTTCCTCTGGATCGCTCCTGTCGCTGTGTCCACCTGCTCCACCTGCTCAGGGARGGAGATGAGAGGAGCAGGGCAAGCACACAGAGCTGGTGTTTCAGGGCCATGAACAGTTAAAGCCTTGGCCACGGCGCTGGTGCAGCTGGAGCTCTTCCCAAAGCTGGGCTGGAGAGCATCACTGTCTCCCCCGAGCCGCTGGAGTCGTGGCAGTGAGGAGCTGCTCTGAGATCACTGCAATCCTCAGCTTTTAATGCCTCTCCTCCCCAGCCCCTACATTTTCCATCAGAAAGAAGGAGATTGGTAAATGTCCTGGGGCTCACAAGCCAGGCTGTGAGCTGGTGAGGCAAGAGGAAGCACTTGCTAACACACCATTGCTGGTAATAATGCCCGGGTGGAAAACCTCCCCTGGAAAGTGAAGCTTGGCAAAAATCTGCAGCAATTAATTGCTTTTGAGCATTTCCAGAACAGAAATGAGCCATTGAATCAGCAGTGGCAAGGGCAGGGGTAGGCCTTGGTTCCCTGGGGTAAATTCAAATGGGATTTTCCATGGTCTCCTTCAGGATCTGTCCCATATGCAGCTTTCCCATGTGCTGTGCTGCCTGTGCTGTCACCCTCAGTGTCATCTCTCTTCTTCATCATGGGCTGCCATGCAGATGGATGTGAAAAATCCAGTGGAAAATAAAAAAAACCCTGTAATCTCAGGGGTAAGGTTGCCCTAAGTGAGTTCTTTGCTCAGTCAATACCCACAGTATTTTAAATAGGCTGTGGTATACTTTATGCCATTTTTATGAGTGGGRTTTTTTCCAGCACTCTGCTCTAGAAGTAATTTCTCCTGCTCGACTCTGCGTGCAGTTTTGTAGTGAAAACGGTTTAATAAATGATGGGATTCCTCAAAAAGCTGAAATCCCATTTTTGATCAGTGCTGGTTTTGACCACTGCTGCTGCACAGGGATTGTCTGAGAATAGCAGGTTAATATACAGAGCTAGTTTCCCCCTTATCTTTATGAGTTTTCTCATTGAAAATACTTTTAGTTTATATTTATGGCTACAGTAGTTAAGAAGGCAGCTAAAAATAGCTGGAGATATTTTAGAGGCTRAATCTTCAAACCCTGAAAATGCAGCCTGATTTTAAAGTGCCTGCATACTCCTTCTACCTGGTGCCCTAAGGAAATCAGGATTATGCTGCTTCATCTTCCTCTCCTCCTGTCAGCCCTTGTATCCCTCAGTAACTTTTGAGCCCACTGGCAATTTCCATCACTTCTGACAGAGGAAAGGGAMTCAAAGCAARTTCCTGCGAGTCACCTGTGGCTGGGTTGGGAAGAAAACCTCAGAGCGATGCCCCCACCAAGTGCCAGCCTGGCTGGCATCAGCACCCTGCACATGTGTGTGCCCCAGGCTCACTCCAAAATCACTGAGACATGGTCTGGCACCAGCTGTTGGGTGGCTTTTTCCAYGGGCAGAGGAATCTGCAGGGCATGGAAGCAAGTGGGAGAAGGGCAGTGGGTGCTGGGATCAGCATTTTGTGAGGGATGAGCAGATATGAAGCTATCACCCCAAAGTGGGTGCTGTGGCAATATAAGGCAGCCCCTAAGGATTTTGGCTCATGGAAGTACATATTTACAATGTGCAAGATTCTGTTCTGTGTCTTGCCTGTGTAATACTTTTTTTCCCCAAAGTGGTCACTCAATGTGTCTGGTGGGAAGAGAAGAGGAAAGAGAGAGCTGCTTGCATTAGAAGTGACGCTGCCCACTCTTGTGGAGGAAAAGGTCCTCACATTTCCATGGATCAGATTCTGCAATTACACAGCTTTCTTGTTTGGCCAGTTCATCTGCTAAACCTGACACAGAGCCAGAATGCAAACAGGGATTTTTCCCATTACAGAATACTGAATCTATGATAAGCCACACCATGAAAACTCAGTTTTTTAAGGAGGTGGGGAGAGAATGAGGGAAACTMCAACTTCTGCTGCAAGATAAGCAATGAGTTTTGCAGTGTTTCTAGAATCTGTGTGTCAGGGATCTCATAAAAAATCCCTGTAAGCCAAAGCAGCACTGTGAGGAGAAAAACAGTAGAATTTGGGATAGTAAAATTTAAGCAGATGTTTGAACACCAGTTTTGGCCCGTGAAACATCTGCGTGATAACTCTGGACACAGCTGGATAAAGTCAGTAATTGCTACAGAAAGAGGCCTGTGAATATTGCACTTAATCTGTGGGTCTGTTCTGCACAGCAATGCAGTGGATAGCATTGATGATTTTGATTATGTTTGTATTTTTTTTCTTATACTACAAATTCCCCTACTACCAAGTATTCAAATCAACACCACTTCTGCTTTTCAGTACCATCAAGTTGTAGTATTAAAATGTATTTATAGATGGAGTAACAAATGCCTCTGAAAGGAGAGTTATACACCGACAGCTTGGAAAGAGACTGGGCTGGTTTTCTCAAAGATCACTCCTTAAATAGGRTATATTCTCAAAGACTATTCCTTAAATAGGATATAAAGATTGTAATTTACGCATCATTTGCCAAGAGGGACAAGGCTGTGATAGTATATATTTTTACGTATATATATATGTGTGTATACATAGTCTTCCTAACTGCAGCCTGCAAAGTTCAGAACTCCAAAAACTAATGAAGAATACAAACCGATAGAGGCTGAACTGCATTTGTTTGTTGTCCCAAAACACGGCGGATTTAATTGCACCCCTAACGCTGCTTAYTTGCCAAAAACAAGACAAAAATCAGAAAGCAAACAAGTACATTCTCTGAAYAAATCCTGCAATTTTACGAGCTGCCATCTAAGCAGCCTGGCAAACCGCCCAGGCCCGAGTGACATTCGCGGACGAGAAGTAACCCGTGCATCTCTTTTGAACTGTCCTCTCCTCCAGCTTTCTTCACCTCCCACCCAGCAGCTCTCCATTAAATCCCTTCCAAAGCCTTTTCCTACCTGCATAGTGGTCAAACACGGTGGGCACATACTCCTCTGGGAAGGCATCGTTGGCGTAGCTCATCAGCAGGCAGGTTTTCCCCACCGCACCATCCCCAACCACCACGCATTTGAGCATCTTCTTGGTGTTATTCCTGCTGCCGTCAGTGCAGTTGTCATTTTCCTCCTTGCAGTTCATTCTTGCCGCTGCTCTCGCTGCTCCCAGGATTTCCAATTGCACATGAAGGAAAAATGAAGTGCGATTGTATTGACTTTTCCTGAGTTTGGAGAAAAGGGGGGAGGGGGGTTGGGGAGGGGGGAGAGCAGCAAATCTCAAACTCAGGAAATCATACTAATGTTTCCAGGCTGTCACAGCCGCTTCCAGCAGTTACCAGATCAGTCAAGAGAACCATCGAGGTGAATAAATTAAACACACAGAGAGGAATAGCATCC